GAGACTGTGGATTTTTGCATGGATTTCCTGGGAGACAAAATTGGCAGAAGATGGAATAGACTGCTTTGGAAAGGAGTTTCTCATCCTTAGGGATGTCAGCATAGAAACTAAACAATGCATCTCTGTCGGAGTAGACCCAAAGAACACATCTAAAGCTTAAACCAGGTCATTTATGATTTCTTTCAAACCTATTTTATAAATCTATACATTTGGTATCAGAGGTGGGGGATTGACATAATCATTCACACATTGCATTCTGGTGTTTGATTTGAAATTGTTAAGCGAGGCCATTTTATTTTATAACATTTGTTACCAGTTTGTTCCAAGTGACACTTGTGCAATGGATAGGTAGATGTGCTATAACGTAGATACAGGGACACCTTCTATATCCCTGTGCTATAACGTAGATACTGGGACACCTTCTACATCCCTGTGCTGTGACATAGTTACAGGGACACCTTCTACATCCCTGTGCTGTAACATAGATACAGGGACACCTTCTACATCCTGTGCTGTAACATAGTTACAGGGACTCCTTCTACATCCCTGTGCTGTAACATAGTTATAGGGATACCTTCTACATCCCTGTGCTGTAACATAGTTACAGGGACACCTTCTACATCCCTGTGCTGTAACATAGTTACAGGGACCCCTTCTACATCCCTGTGCTGTAACATAGTTACAGGGATTCTTTCTGCTGTCTCAAGGGAGGTTGCATTAAGAAGAAACACTTTGACCATGTATGGTTTGTTGCCTATAATCCCAGTATTGGAGACAATAAAGTAGAAGGTAGTGGGTTGGAGGTCATTTTGGGCCAGTTACTGAATTCCAAGCCATGATGAGACATGGTTTTTTTTTTGTTTTGTTTTGTTTTTGTTGTTTTTCTTTAAGTTGTTATTGAGCAATCTAAGAATTGATTTTACTTTGGTGCCCTGGAACTCTCTTACCTTTATGAAAGTAAATCAAACATAGGCTACCCAAGGACTATTTATTCTTAAGACAGCAAAAAAGAAGGATCCTTCTCCTGGCTTGTTTTTTCACTGCCCTTGTATAGACCAGAGACACACACACACTTTATCTGAAGGACACAAGAACTCATATGCCCATAATAGATAAGTACAATATGGTACATAAATACATAAGTATCAGTTCTTAAAAAGACTTGGATTTAATTTTAACATCCTTAACTTTTAGCGGGCTATGAAACTTAAGGAGTCTCAGTTTTATTCTATAAAATGAGTATAGCAAAGAAGAAAATAAGTTCAAAATGCTCTTCCTACTGTAGCTTTGGATAGAATGTTAAATTCCATAGAAATCCTAAAATGCTGAAGCTGAGTAAGAGTGTAGAGTTCATTTGGTTCAGTGCCATAATTTTATAAATAAGTAAAATAGGATCTGAAAAACTCAGAGGTTTCTAGAATAGTGGTTTTCAACTTTTTCAATGCTGTGACCCTTTAATACAATTCTTCCATGTTGTGGTGATGCCAACCATAAACTTATTGCTACTTTGTAACCAAAAGTTTTTTTGTGTCCTGCCTGGTCCGCAGCTGCTTTGACCAAAGTAAATACACAGAGGCTTATATTAATTAAATCTGCCCTGCCATTAGCTCAGGCTCACGACTGACTAGCTCTTACATTTAAACTCAGCCCATTTCTGTTAATTTATATGTTGCCACGTGTTCCATGGCTTTACCTGTGTGCCATTACATGCTGCTCTCTGGATGGCGGGCTGGCATCTCCTGACTCAGCCTTCCTCTTCCCAGAATTCTCCTTGTCTGCTTATCCTGCCTATACTTCCTGCCTGGCTACTGGCCAATCAGCGTTTTATTAAACCAGTGTAGAAAAGCATTATTCCACAGCATTTTCCCTTTTCTGTTTAATTAAAAAGGAAGGTTTTAACTTTAACACAGTAAAATTACATATAACAAACGGTTATCAAGCAAGAATTACATTTATAATGTCTGGTCTATTTGTACTTGGCAAAATTAAAGAAAATATTCTATCTATCCTATGTTTTTGAGTCTAAAGTTTTATATCTAATTTATCTTTTATCATAACCAAGGAAAATTACAACTATCTAGTCTTCAGCTACATCAAAGACCTCAGAAGGATACAATATTACCTAAGTAAACAGGAAGAGCATTGTAAGCAACTTCTAAAAATCTAGAATGACAGAGACAGCTGCCTGCCTGGACAGTCATCCAAAGTTTCTCTGTAACGTTGGGGCATCCATCTTCAGCCCATAGGTCTAGTCTCTCAGTCATTTCTTTTTCTCTGTGTCTGGCAGTTTCTTCTGTGAAGCAGAAACCTGAAGGACCATTTTGCCTTGCAAAGTTCAGTGGTTACCTTTCTATGGGTCCTGTATGTCCAGTCGATACAACATTTTGTCAAGCAGTCCAGGCAAGAACAGTTTCTTGCCCAAATGGCTATTTTTGTCAAGAAGAAGAAGGTGAACTCCATATGGAGTGTCTTTGACGTCCATCTTTCTCTCTGAAGTAAATGGGTGCTGCCAGGGACAGATGTGTCTCGATGTCCAGAAAAGTCTAAGTTTTTAAAACATTTTAAATGCCATATTCTATAGGTCTTTGAAGTGTTTGAAGGTTACCTACCTAATTGAATTAAGTCTATTTATACCTAGAAAACCTAACATGACTGTAAGTTTGATTATTATAGATGACTAATTATTAATCTGTATTTCTTAATTATCCATTATAGTTTAAATGAATTACATAAACATAATACCTTAAATAAGAGTATATATAGTATAACCAAATCAACTCTAAATTTGTATCAATAAACTAAAATCCATAGCAATGTAAAACACTTTTAAACAAGTTGTTGCTCTTTAAAAGTAGGTTCATTAATCTACCATTTCATCTTATCATATCTATACTATCCCCTTTTCTTCTTTAGAAAGAGATTACATTTATAATCAACCTGCTTTGAATAAAAATAAACATTCATAAACAATATTTTGGGAATTTGGGCATAACTTCTTATACTACTTCCTGCTGGATGAGGGCACTGGCAATCTAATGGGGATCCTGTGAAAATTAAGAATTATGGTCAAATCCTGACTGGAGTAGTCTGTGAGGCTGCATTGTCTGAGCCAGTTGCCTTGAAACCATTCTGGATGTTGGATCATTTGGGCCATGGTGTGATTGGGGACCTTTCAGGGGGTCTTGGGTGGTCAAACCTGATGTATCTTAATCTGGAGCAAATCCATAGCCTCTTGCTTCCTGTGGAAACAAAAGAAGAGCCTCCTTTCCAAAGCAATGTATCCTTAGATCCAAATTTTGAAGTCAAGATACCTTTAAAATATATATATTGGCTTAATTTAGCAGCTTTTACAATCAAATGTCTTTCTGCAGTTAAAAATATCAAAGACAACACAATCCAGATTCTCTGTGCAATATCCATCTTTACATGACTTATTTTTTTAAACTACCTTTACTGTCTCTTTAAAGACTTTATTTTTTAAAACTATTTCTTTATATAACTGGCTATATTCATTTTCTTCTCTCTGCCAAGCCTACGTACATTTTTACACACATATAAACTGTTTAGGGTTTATCCGATCTGAATCTGCCTTATTGTGAATCTATTGCTTTAAACTGCAGCATTACTAGGACTGAAATGGCAGCTTTGACTGCTGGCTCTGCCCACCTCAGCTTTCTAACATGGTGGTGATACATTTACTGCCAGCTCTGGCACCACCAACTCTCGGAAGCAGTGGGTCTGTGCCTCCATTAAAGCAGCATGTAGCCCAGAAACTTTTTTTTTCTTTGTCTGTACTAGCAAAGGCTAAATCTATTATGCACCACACTGTGCAGCTTGGAGATGCCTCTCTGTACTGTGGCGAGAATCCGTAGCCATGCCACTTAGCTCATGAAGGCCGGCGGCCAGCTCCATCTCACAGGAAGCCATGCCACTTAGCTCATGGAGGCCAGAGGCCAGCTCCATCTCACAGGCAGCTGTCAGGAGACGAGTTTGTGTTGTTGTTTCATGAGACTGTGAGACTAGGAAGCCCAGTATGGCTCCGTTTCTGTGTATTTAGAATCTTTAAACTTTTTTAAGTCTATATGGCTCAATGCCTCACGGTCAGTGCCAAATGTAGCTAAAAGTTTTTCTATGTCCTGCCTGGTCTGCAGTCGCTCAAACCCAAGTAAATACACAGAGGCTTATATTAATTAAAACTGCTCCACCATTAGCTCAGGCCTACCACTGACTAGCTCTTACACTTAAACTCAGCCCATTTCTGTTAATTTATATGTTGCCACGTGTTCCATGGCTTTACCTGTGTGCCATTACATGCTGCTCTCTGGATGGCGGGCTGGCATCTCCTGACTCAGCCTTCCTCTTCCTAGAATTCTCCTTGTCTGCTTATCCTGCCTATACTTCCTGCCTGGCTACTGGTCAATCAGCATTTTTTAAAACTGTGTAGAAAAGCATTATTCCACAGCATTCATTATTCCACAGCACTGCTTCATAACCAAAATTTTGCTACTGTTATGAATAGTAATGTAAATATCTAATATGCAGGATATCTGATATGCAACCCCTGTGAAAGGGTCATTTGACCCCAAAGGGGTCATGACCCACAGGTTCAGAATCACTGACCTAGAGGGCCATAGCGTAGTTGGCAGTGAAAGGCCATGGGTTTCTTCTGACAGTATAGTAAACTCATCTGAGAACTAAAGTTGTAAGGATGTTTTTAGCATTTTTACTTTTGTTTTGTGAAAGGTATTTCAAGAGTAATTATTTCTTACTGATACCACAGAGAAATCATTTCTTTGAGAAAATCTTTTCTCTTCCCAAGATTTGTGTTGATTTTAGAAGTTTTATCCAGGTGCAGGCAGTGTCATAATGACTATTCCAGCAGCATAGCTGACTGTGTATTTACTCTGTCTCACCAGCATGGTTGCACAACATCTTCGTTTGAACTTTATTTTTCACAATTAAAAACCTAACATTCCAATAAATATATGTTCTGTTTCTAGATGTCTCCTGAAGAAACAGTTTGTAAATACTGTGGCGTCAGCTATCTAATTCTTCATGAATTTAAGGCTATGGAAGAAAAACTGAAAGCAATGGAAAAAGAAATGAAATTTTATCAAGGAAGTGTAGACCGAGAAAAGAGACTTCAAGAAAAGCTGCAGTCTCTTAGCCAGGAGTTTGACCAGTATAAAACTGACAGTGAATCCAAAGACAAAAGGTTGGAGTATGTTTTCTGTCTCTTATTTAGTTCGAAAGAAAACAGATTTGGGTGGCATGGTGATTCAAGCCTGTATTGCCAGCAATCAGGAGGCTAAGGCAGGAGCATTGTTTGTTCCAGGCCAGCTGTATATTTTCTATATCCTTTACTGTGCCTTTCTTTATCTTTATTATAAGTAGATCTCTGTTACGTTTGTAGCTTGGTATCTTTTTTTTTTTTTCAATTGCTCTATGTATTTATTAGCTATAATTAATGCAGTAAGAGGGGTCAAAAAGCTTTCAGGCTACACAATTTCACAAGACACATTGCAGGGAAAAGGAAAGGCTGATATTTAACAACCATATCTTAGGGTCTTGGTAGACGCATTCCTGGGGGAGGTGGGCCTCTAATTCCTGGCGGAGGGGGTCTCATTCCTGGAGGGGGCATGCCTATAGGTGTCCCTCAAGCAGGGGGAAGGCCAATTGGTGGGCCCATGGGTGGTCTCATACCAGGTGGAGGAGCCATAATTCCTGGAGGTGGGGTTGTAGCTTCGTATCTTAATAGATGATATTTAAAAATAATATATTAAGTGTGTTCTGTGACTTTGCCACTTAATTGTATGTACTGGAAATTGTTGCACATTAATGCATACAGATCTACCTTGCTTTTTATTGTGGCTGTGTTTTTCTTAGGAATATATAATAATTTACTTATCTTTTCTCTTTTCAATATTTATACTATTTATTATTATAGGTGCTATTTATATTTATATTCCTTTAAACATGTTTTTCCATAAGATAAACTCTCAGAAACAAAAATACCAAAAGCAAATTCCAATTTAAGTTGTTGATAATTATTAAACCAAAATGTCCTTTGCAAATACATCATTAATTAAGTTTGACTAAGTATTTAGGAACTGGCCATCCTTTATGCTTTTTAAAATATTTTTTATTTTTGGTTGTGAGCCTAGCCTTTAACAGCTTTAACATCTCTCCAGCCCTAATCCCAGCACTCGAGAGGCAGAGGCAGGTGGATCTCTGTGAGTTCAAGGCCAGCCTGGGCTACTGAGTGAGTTCCATGAAAGGTGCAAAGCTACACAGAGAAACCCTGTCTCGAAAAACAAAAAAAAAAACAAAAAAACAAAAAACAAAAAAATAAACAAAAAAATTTTTTATTCTCCTGCATGAAAAAAAATGTTACTTCCTGGATATTTAATTTAGGTTTCTTTTTGTTAATGAAGGTTAACTGTTTTTCACATGCACATTGATATTTCTTCCTATGTTAATTAACTGCACACATACATTGTCCAAATTTCTATTGGATTATTAGTTTACATGAGTCTTGTTTGTTTTGAGGCAGGGTCTCATGCAGTAAAGGATGATCTTGAAGTGCTGATCCTCTTACCTCTACTTGCCAGTGTTGGCATGTATCACCACACCTGGTTTATGTGGTGCTAGGGATCAAACCCAGGGCTTTATGCATGTTAGGCAAGCACTACAACTAGCTATATCCCCAATCCAGGGGGTTTTTAATATATTGTCCTTACATTTTTTATGTGTTAGTATTTTCTCATGGTTGCTTATCTTTTTACTGTGTCTTTTATATTTTTTGTTGTGTGTTCTTTTCTTTTTTAAAAATACCATACTCAGCCAAATTCTGCCAGGGTTCTGTGTCATGAGACTTACTAATCCTAGCCTCAACATGGAGTTTATTGGAGGAACATGGGACGTTAGCCTGTTGAGATAAAGGAAAAATTCAGGTCTTCTGACTTTGGAAAAGGATGGGAAACATCCTGTTTACGTCTCTTTGCAGTAAATAACCCCTCTTCCTTCCTTTCACCATTCTCTTCAAGTCTGAAGACCTGTAAGAGTCTCACTGGTGTCCGATCCCACCTCTATAGCCTGAGAAAGGGAAGAGCCTTGATCACAGTTCTGTAAAGACTTTGTATAACAAAGGAAACGATATCAATAAGAGAAATTCGACTTTTGTTATCAGAAGGGAAAATATAAATCTGGCAAGTGAAACATCCAGCACTGGAAAGAAAAATGACAATAATCCCAATTTAAAACTACAAGAAGAAAACTTCTATGTATTACTTTATAGTGTTGTTTAGAGTTAGCTTTTTAGTATAGTTGCAGTGAATTTTTATATATGATATGAGGTAGACTTGTAATTTTATGTTTTTTGTTGTTTTCCAAATGTCTAGTTTATTATCCTGACATCTTTGTTTAAATATGTCTCCCTTTCTCCCCTAATTTGAACTGCAGCTTATTAATTTCTAGCTTAATTTGGGCCCTCTATTTGGTGTTAGTAATTCACTGTTTACCAATCAGTCAGCACTATACTTAACCACTTTATCCTCAGGATATTCTTATTATGATATTTTGCTGGGCAAGTCTTCATTTTTTTTTTTTTAGTGTCATCTTCTAGAGTTCTAGAATCATTTATCAGATTTCATTTTATGATTTAGACTCAGGTTGTATTTAGGTATCTTCAGAATTGACATTTTCACACAACACAATCTTCCTATTTCCCCTCTACTTATTCAGTTGTTCTTAAAACTTCTCAATAACATTTTATATTTTTACGCATTTGCATATAATTATTGTTGCTGTGGGGGGTGGGGTATTTTTCTTTATCACATATTCTAATATAAACATTACTGCTTTAAATTACTAATTACTGAATGCGAGTAATTTTTCTACATTGATTATATATCTAGCTCCTTTGCTTAATTAATTTTACTAGTTTTGTGTTTTCTCTTGATTTTCTTGAACATATATCATATGCATAGAACCTCATCGCATTCTGTCCCATCAGATATTCCCGTTTATTTAATCAGCTGTAGCTTCCTCACCCACCCCCTTGTCTTGTTGAACTGAACTGGTGCAGGTGGATGGTACACGTGCAGGTGCGTGCCTGTCTTCTTTATCACTCAGTGTGGACTTGTCTGCTGTGCTTCTGTGCTGTAGGTTTTTAAAGACCGTGTTTATCGACATGAGAGATTTCCCTGTTTCTTGCTTTCTGAGGTTTAAATCAAGAATGATTACTGCTCTTTAATGAGTGCTGCTTGCCCCTCTTTTTTTGGTACCCTGGGATGATCCTATGGTTTCCCCTCTGTGCTGGTCAGGGGTTTGTGTCAACTGGAAGATGAAAGGAGGAACTAAACTGAGAACATGCCCCATCAGAATGGCTTCTCGGCAGTTTCGTGATTGATGACTGATGAGGGAGAGTCTAGCCCACAGTGGGTGGTGCCACTCCAGGGCAAGTAGTCCTGGGTTGTACAAGAAAGCAGGCTGAGCAAGCAATAAGGGGTAAGCCAGCAAGCAGTACTCCTTCAAGGCTTCTGCTTCAGTTCCTGCCCTGACTTCCTTCATAACGGACTATACTATAAAATGTAAGCTGAAATAAACCCTTTTCTTCCCCAAGTTGCCTTTAATCATGGTTTTTGTCACAGGAATAGAAAGAAAACTAGAACATTCCCTTTGTTTTTTACAGTATCTTCTATAGCCCAGACTGGCTTCACTGTGTAAAACAAGGGTGACTTTGAACTTCTCACTTCCTTCTGCTCCCATGCTTGGCTTTAGTCGGTTATTATAGTGAGTAAGCATGTATTTCCTAGTAAGAAGCTATACTCATATTTTTAATAAAAAGCCATTTTGATATGGCACTTATTTCAGTATTCCCTAAATTTTGTGCTTTTATCTCTCTCTCTCTCTCTCTCTCTCTCTCTCTCTCTCTCTCTCTCTCTCTCTCTCTCTCTGTGTGTGTGTGTGTGTGTGTGTGTGTGTGTGTGTGTGTGTGTGTGTGTGTGTGATGTGTGGTGGTGGTGGTGGTGGTGGTGGTGGTGGTGGTGGTGGTGGTGGTGGTATGTGGGCCAGAACAGTCTGGGAACTAGTGTGGGGACTTTGATCTGTTGCAAGCTTGTTTGTGTTAATCAGGAATTAGATGCCCCATTGCCAGATGTAGTAGGGAGCAGAGAAGGGAATTAATGGCTTGTCCTGACAAACAGAATCCTGCTTTATAAGATTTCTGAGGAATGCTGAGTTCAGGTAGCAATCCCTCTGTCAGAGTCCAGAGGTGAGCCCAGACTACCATTTAGTGCATTATCAACAGCACTGCAATTTGGGGGGCCCACTTTGGTCTTAATACCCAGTGCTAGTGAGGAAAAGGCAGGCAGAGTTTGAGGCCAGCCTGGTCTACATAGTGAGTTCTAAGACAGCCAGGGCTTTGTAGAGAGGAGACCCTCTTTCAAAAAAATCTTTTGTCCCTGTAATATAAAAAGTAATTGCCAATGCTGATAATGATGTCTAAAAGTTTATGAAGAAAATTGTTTTTCTGATAAAGTGTTGACTTAATTTTCTACTATTTTAAATAGTTCTGCTTTCATATTCATAGATTTAGCTGCCCTATAGCTTTCTCATGGCATAGGGACCAGTTTACACCAGTTTACACCAGTCTCTTACAATGTTCTGTGTAGTCTAGGCAGTCCTTAAACTGGCAGTTACCTGCTTTGGCCAACCCAGGAGTTAACAGGCCTGTACCACCATGCCAACTTCACCAGACAGATTAACTAACTCATGAATTGCCTGTGCCTACTTACTAAATATTTTGGTAGAAAACTGTATCTTCTTTGGGTAGAAAGACTATGATGACCCATTGTGTTTCCTAATTGTTATTGCTTTATTATTGATTTTTAGCCCCTTCTTACATCAGTTTTGGATATTGTTATTTTTTTTAAACAAGTAAGTACATTGGTATTTCAAGTTCCTCGTTGTTTAGTAATATATAGCTTCTTTTAAAATAAAAAAAAATTTTTTTAAAACAAAAATTGAGTTTCAGGTTTTGTGAATACCAGGCAAGTATTTTACCACTGAGCCCTGTTTTGGTCATTTGCCTGATTTGTAATCAGTTTGTTTCTTTTCTTTTTTGTTTGTTTGTTTGGTTTTGTTTTTTTGAGACAGGGTTTCTTGTGGAGGCCCACAGAGGCTTCCTAGAAAGACCTTACTCAAGGTCAGAGA